TGCTGGCAAGGGAAAACATGGTGTCCAGAACAAAAGCATGAAAACTCCAGGGTTTCTGCCCAGGTTAGAGTTCACCTGGAGAAAAGCATCCAGACCCAGGACTGTTCCAGAGGAAGGGACACGGACCAGACCGGATTTGATGCCTGAGTGCATTTGGATACAGGGACCCCAATGATGGAAGTCAGATAGACTTTGTCATGGGGCAGCACCCCGACACGTGAAAGGGTCCCTGGCTTTAGACCCAGCTGTGACAAGTGTTTAGGGAATGAACTAGGAGTTGGATAGTCTCAATCTGCCTGTTTGCCTCCTAAAGATAGAAGGAGAGAGAAAATGGAAGGAAGAAAGAAAGCAAAAAAAAAAAAAAAAGTTGCCTGGTATTGCTCCCTGTGACAAAACCAGGACCAACAAATGAGAAGAGATGAATTTTGATTCAATACCAAAAAAAAAAAGTCAAAGAATTAGATTACAATTTCTTTAATGCTTTATGTGCAAAGTGCAACCCCCTGCAATTCCTTCGCTTGGAACCCATGGTTTATCGGGCCACAGAACACTTAAATGTCTAGGGGTATTAACATACTTTTTTTAATGTTCTAAGATTTTTGTTTTGACATAAAGTTTTTCCTTACAAAAATTAGTTTGAATGAAACTCATGAATAGTCTAAATCAAAAACGTTAAGCAAAAATACAGATGGCATGCAAATGTGCCAAAAAAATTACAGAGGCGCTATGCAAATGACTGCAATTTGGGAGACGCAGCAGCCGTAGATGGTGCTGTTTGGTCCTCCGAGCCCCTCAGCTTTTGTTCCAAGCTCTACCTCCTGCGGAGGAAATGCCTGTCGCATAGTTTCAGATGACTCAAGTATTTATTAAGAAAGAGGAAGAGGAAGATAAGAAAAATAAGACAAAGAAGGGAAAGAGGATGAATGACTGGATGCTCCAAGCACATCAGGCCAGCCTGTTTACCTTCGGGGTTCACACCACACTGACACTAAATCAGGAGGAATGCCAAGAAAGAAACAGCAAGGAACCTGCAGAGGTTAAAAATAAGGGCAGGAAGTAACCACACGAAGCAACTGAGAAAATAGGAACAAATAGATCTCATGACAAATCATCTGACAAACACCCAGTGGGAAAAGCTGCACATTCCATGGGTAACGCCAGAGCCGCGGAAGACCTTGGTGGCAAAGTCACAGTGAGCAGACTGACCCTGCTACTGCCAGGCGTGCCCACAGCCACGAAGCCCTGCAGAGCGCATCCGATACCAAACATTTCAAACCGGCGCCTCCGCACAGTTTCAGATGAAGACCAAAGCATTCATCTTCTCATTTTAAAGATCTTTTTTGTTTCTTTCAGGTCTCCCACTCAGGTGCAAGGTCCCAAAGCTTTGGGCCATCCTCCACTATTTTTCCAGGCCACAAGCAGGGAACTGGATGGGAAGTGGAGCAGCCAGGACACGAACCGGTGCCCATGAGGGATGCTGGCTGCAGGTGGAGGATTAGCCTGCTCCACCCATGTCTTTTGATCACATTGGCCAGGACTGCCTCCTCTAAGATTGCCATCTCCTATCTTCTTTTCTTGACCTGCAGGCCCCTGGTTATCCCCTGCAGATTGCCCAGCCCCAAGAGACAAGCTTTCTTGTGGTTGCTATTCACTTGCTCCTCTTTAGAGTCTTCCCATCATTTCTTTTTTTTGTTTGTTTGTTTCTTGCTTGTCTGTTTCTGTTGTTATTTTAGATGATATTAACAATGTTGATCAGAGTAGGATGGATCAAGGCTTAGGGAAATGTGGGTGTGATCATTGTTTCCAAATTTTCTGTTTTTCTTTCTTGTTTCGAGGAGCAGAGGTTGAGAGGGGGGGATAAGGGAAGAAGCCACACCCAGCCTCCCAACCGCTCCAATACCCAGGGATTGAGAATGTCCACCAAGATCAAGCCGGGGTCCCAATGTGGTACATACTCCGAGGGTTCTGCCCAAGTTATTTCAGTAGTTTTGAAATGTCAGTCTTGCAGACCCCAGAAAGAGGGACCCTTTTCAATGTCCATTGGCTGACCTAGTCAGCCTCACTCTCCCTCTGCCCAGGTATTTTCTATCATCGTTTGGCTGGGGTTGTTGTCCAATTTGTTCTGCCAGACTTCTTATAGGTCCACATCTTCAAGCACGCAGAGCATGCCCAGTGCAACCCAGAGTCCCGCCAGCACATCTCAGCAACTGGCACGGTCAAAGTCCCTGGCCGTCAGCCTAAGCCGCCTTACCTCCGCTCAGCCACCACTACATGCTGCTGGGGGCGGGATGTAAACCCTGTTTGGCACATCTGAAGAGGCCCAAGGCCTCTGCCAGTACCTCTCGGCATCTGATCCCTGACTTCGTTTTGCAGGTGGATATGCCATCCGTTGCTCCATCTGCACCACTGAGGAAGCTCTGGTTTGCTGGCACAGAGACCTGTCCGTGCAGTCCCTCAGCTGACATTCCTCGCCTGGGGGGGAGCCCTCAAACCCCTGCCCGCCCCCACCTGGGCCAGAACCCAAAGCACCTGTGAGTGCAGAACCTCCAACACTCAGAGGGCACCGCTGGGCAGCCCATGGGCTTCACCGGCACCACGGTACCCAGGCCACCTGGGCCCAGGCAGGGGACCCCACACCCTGCCAGACCGCCCCCTCCCATGATTTCTTATAAAAACTACAAGTCTCCCCTCGCTCTTGACCTGAGTTATTATAGCTGTCTCGCCTACCATGTTTTCTTTTAAATAAATATTTATTTCACTTATTCCAGAGCAAAGCTTGATGCAGTTGAAGTAATTTTGGTCATGAAATTAGAAGTCCTGGGCCCGGCACAGTGGCGCAGTGGTTAAGGTCCTCGCCTTGCACGCCCGAGATCCCATATGGGCGCCGGTTCTAATCCCGGCAGCTCCACTTCCCATCCAGCTCCCTGCCTGTGGCCTGGGAAAGCAGTCGAGGACAGCCCAAAGCTTTGGGACCCTGCACCCGCGTGGGAGACCCTGAAGAGGCTCCTGGCTTCGGATCGGCATAGCATCGGCCATTGCACTCACTTGGGGAGTGAATCATCGGATGGAAGATCTTCCTCTCTGTCTCTCCTCTCTGTAAAATAAAATAAATCTTTTAAAAAAAAAAAAACTTGCTGTGCACTTATTTGAACATCAAGGGCCAGCAGGAACAAAACGGAAAGAGCCTCCTCTCCACTGCTTCACTGCCCAGCTGGGCCAGGCCCAAGCCGGTAGCCCAGAACTCACTGGTGGCAGTCTCCCACATGCGTGGCAGGGACATAAGGCCTTGAGCCGTCACCTGCTGCCTCCTGAGATGCCATGAGCACGAGGACAGAATCCGGAGAGGAGCCGTGTCTCCGCCCCAAGCAATGGGACTCCAGATGCAGGCACTCCGGTGATGCCTCATCCGCCGTGTCAAACTCCCATCCCTGGATTAACGCTGAGACTCCCAGTTCCTGCACTCTTTGCTTGGACATTAACCTGAGGAGTTAGCGAAAATGTGTCATATCTGCATGAGGACATGAAGCACATTGGCCCTGACAGAAAAAAAAAAGAGAGAGAGAAAGAGAGAAAAAACACATACTTGTTGTCATGAAACCACTGGAAGACTGAGTTCTAAATGTGCTCAGGAGTTGTGAGGGAATCTGGTAAAAACGCAGATTCTGGGGCCCAGCTCAATAGCCTAGTGGCTAAAAATCCTCATCTTGTGTTCACCAGGATCCTATATGAGTACCAGTTCCTGTCCCAGCTGCCCTGCTTCCCATCCAGCTCCCTGCTTGTGGCCTGGGAAAGCAGTCGAGGACGACCCAAAGCCTTGGGACCCTGTACCCACGTGGGAGACCTGGAAGAAGCCCCTGGCTCCTGGCTTTGGATCACCTCAGCTCCAGCAGTTAAGAGAATCTTTCTCTCTGCTTCTCCTTCTCTCTGTGGATCAACCTTTCCAATAAAAATAAAATAAATCTTAAAAAATAAAAAGGCACAAATCCTGATTCAGTGAGTCGGACAAGGGCCCAGGACACATCCATGCCGTGGTTCCCAGATCCCACTTGGCCAGTGAGGCCAGACTATGTGCACAGCATAGCTGTCGCCATGGGAATGAAACCCAGGACCGGGAACAGCATGACTCGGACTGGGAACAGCAGCATGGAACTCCCTCAGGACGCCCGTCGGATGAAGCAGGTAAGATCAGATGTTAAGATGCCTGTGTCCCGTGCCACGCTGCCCGGCTTCAAGTCCCGGCTGTGCTCTTGACTCCAGCCCGCCCTGGCAGGTGGCGCTGGGAACCCCAGAAGCTGAATCCCTGTAAGAAAACTCCTCCGCTGTGTGGTGTGTGTGTGTTGGGGGAGCGGGAGGATGAGGGGTTACTTGGTCACTTACAAAATACATTTCGCCCTGGCAGTCATGATCAAAAATTTGAAAAACAATGGACTCGTTTGTTTCCAGATAGAGATGTGTTTTTTCTTAATGCCTTCAGTGTTTTAAGAGTATTTATTTTTAGTGTATTCTAGATTTAACTGTCTTAACTAAGTGAGGTCAAATAAAGCATTCACTGTTCTTTCCACTATCAAATCCACGAACTCACAAGGCATGTAACATTGACTTCCTTCAGGTGACGCACAGGTCATATCCACAGATCCCAGTTGATCGGCACTCCTGACCCTGGGTGCTACCACACACGTGCAACCAGGCGCTCGCACTGGACGCTCGCTGGAGCTGGGAGAGCTTCGAAGGCGCCAGCGAGGTACAAGGGCGCTCTCTGCTGGCGACATCTTTTCTTTGCAGGGAGGACGTTCAACAACTACCAAAGATGTCCAGCTTTTCGCTAAGCAAAAGTTGCGATTCTGTCACACTCCCACTGATACATCCAGAGTTCTTCACTGAAGTCGGAAATTTCACTCCATTTCCCCCCCACAGAAGGCCCTTCACTGCTGAGGCGTGTCCCACCCGGCTCTCCGTTCAACGAGGCGGGTTTCAAGTTTCAGCTCCTCCTTTTGAATTCCAGCCTGCTGAGGCTTCTCTCTGGAATGGTCCAAAATGGAGCCTCTTAGCGCTTACCCCGTGAAAAGCTCCGGGCCCAGAGCAAAGGTATTTGCAGTTTTGCTCTCTATGCTTCTATGCACGGTAATGCTGTTTCTTCTACAACTAAAATTCCTAAAACCTAAAACCAACAGCTTTTACACGTTTGAAGTTAAAGATGCTAAAGGAAGAACCGTTTCTCTGGAAAAATTCAAAGGCAAAGTAAGTTGCATCTTCCGATTCTTCTTTCTGATGTTTTGCTGTCTCGGCCCTGTTCCTTGCGTCTCGCATGGTTACAAGCTAGAATTCAGTCTTTAAAATCCCGTTAGGATTGCGTCACCAAGAGTTCTCGTCCTTAAAGATATCTGTAATTGATAAGCTCTCTTCAAAATGCTTTTAATTTTCGTGCTTTGTTAAGAGAATGCTTATAGGTAGTAATTTGAATCTGTGGACGTTAAGAACAACATTAATACCTAACATTACCAAAAAAAATCGCTTATTCTCATCTTTCACTTGAAACTAAACTTTTGTGAGACCTTATAATTTTGTCTTCTTTTTTTAATCCTGCAATATTTCAGAATCTCAGCTCAGGAATTTGGGTAACGGTTTTCAATAAAAGTGAATATGACTAAAACTATGAAATAACATCAAATGCCATAATACCCCCCCCCCAAAAAAAAATGGTTTAAAGTTTTAACTATTTGCAAGGATTTTTTTTTTTTTTAATCTTTTGCTTCACTTTCCGGTTGGATTTTTTTTTCTTTTTCCGGGAGGTTACGCTAGTTGTAAACGTGGCCAGTGACTGCCAGCTCACAGACCGAAATTACTTAGCTCTGAAGGAGTTGCACAAAGAGTTTGGACCATACCACTTCAGCGTCTTGGCTTTTCCGTGCAATCAGTTCGGAGATTCGGAGCCCAGACCAAGCAAGGAAGTCGAATCGTTTGCAAGAAGCAACTACGGAGTAACCTTCCCCATCTTCCACAAGATTAAGATTCTAGGATCTGACGCCGACCCTGCTTTCAGATTTCTTGTTGGTAAATATCTGCCTGCCCCCACCCATCTACTGTTTGTCATCGGATCTTTTTTGCTTTTAAATACACCGGGACCATAGCATTCCCCGTTCGTTTGAAATGTTTCATTGGAGAAAGTTTTAGGAAAGTGCCAGAGGAGCCAGCGTTTCATCCTTTGTAACTTTCTGTAAGTTATGCATCCTGGAAACCAAGGTTTTAACTTGTGAGTTGACAGAAGTCTACTGCATTGCGTTGTAATTCTTAGCATCTGAAGAATTTATGTACTTAGAGTGTGGCCATGGCTGTTTTCGCACAATTCCGCAATTCTCCCCTTACTTATCTGGCACTGGGGAGACGCCCCGCCCCATTATTAAACATCCCAAATGTGGCTGAGCGTTATCAGACACCCGTTGGTGTTTAATCCCTTTCGTAATTGCCTCTCTTATCTGAGATGTACCTCAGGCCCAATACTCCCCAGGCTGCTGCTAAAAGTCAGAGCAGCCAGACTGACCCTGCCCTGAGACTGAGTACAGAGATCCCGGGGAAGGTGCCCAAGGCCAACTTACATGCCCATTGTGTGGGCCACGTGGTACCGTGACCCTGAGGCTTGCGGTCTACACCTAGATTCAAACCCCTGCTCAGTTGTTCCTGCTATGTGGCTTCTGGGAGCAGACATTTCTTTGCCCATCCCCTCATTTCTTTCAGTTTTTTAAAGATGCATTTATTTTTGTTGGAAAGGCAGATCTACAGAGAGAGGAGAGACTGAGAGAAAGATCTTCCGTCTGCTGGTTCACGCCAATGACTCCAACAGCCAGAACTGAGCCCATCCAAAGTCAGGAGCCGGAGGCGTCTTCTAGCTCTCCCACGTGGGGGCAGCGTTCAAGGTCCCGGCCCATCCTCCATAAGCACAGAGCTGGATGGGAAGTGGAGCAGCTGGGGTACTAACCAGCACCCACATGGGATCCCAATGCTTGCAAGGGGAGGATTAGCCTGTTGAGCCACAGTGCCGGCCCCATCTCATTTCTAAGCCAAAGTTCCCGACATTCCCTGCCTCGTAAGACTGCGTGAGAGTTAAGTGTGTGCATGCACAGAAAAGCAAGCACAGCTAACTGTGTGCCAGCCACTATTCCCCAGGACAGTCAGCCAGCAACGTTCTCGCACCTAGCTCTCTCTGATGGCATCGCCAGGCCTGTTGTCACCGTAGAAAATCTAGCTGGCTGGCTTGCTGGCTTGCTGGCTTGCTTGCTTGCTTCATTGATTGTTGCCTCGCCAGACAATCAAGCTTCCAACCCAAAAATGAGACCCCGGTGCCCTGCGACACTCCACAGCTGTGTGAGATGTCTAATGCCGAGGAGAGGCTGAGGCACTGCAGTCGCTGCCCCCAGAGTGGCTTCATTTCTGGGGGATGCCAAGGGAAAAGCCAAGGCATATGCCCTCAGTCACAGCAGCCAAACGCTTGGGCACAGGAGCTGGTACTGGTGCCTTGTCATCACTCCCAGGAGTGTCTGGGCCCAATGCAATGGCTCAATCGCTCCATTGGCTAATCCTCCCCCTTCAAGCACTAGGATCCCATCTGAGTGATGATCTGAGTCCTGGCCTCTCCACTTCCCATCCAGCTCCCTGCTTGTGGCCTGGGAAAGCAGTCGAGGACGGCCCAAAGCCTTGGGAACTGACACCCGTGTCGGAGACCTGGAAGAAGCTCCTGGGTTCAAATTGTCTCAGCTCCAGCTGTTAAAGCCGCTTGGGGAGTGAATCAACAGATGGAAGATCTTCCTCTCTGTCTCTCCTCCTTTATATCTGACTTTCCAATAAAACTAAACTAAAAAAATATTTTTTTTAATTTTTAAGATTTATAAAAAAACTTAAAAAGATTAAATAGGGATTAATCCTTCAAGCATTGTATGTCAATATACTACCATGCACATGGTAAACACTTATTTTTAGTTATCTTTTTTCTCATGTTTTTCAATAATACAAACATAAATTCTAGATAATAAAAATGGGGGGAATCCGTATGTCTTATATAAATTAAAATTTATCAAAAGAATGTTACAACTTCTTGAAGATTAGTATTCAGAATCTGTTATTTTCAGCTATGCAAAAACGTTAAAAACATTAACATACACCTATTTAACATGAAAAGCAATCCACAGATTTCCATTACCAAGTTCCTTTAGGACATCATTTTATCTTTCAAAATGTTAAGAAGCTGAAAGTTTTAAGCCAATGACAAGCTAAAATCTTTGTTTAAAATCAAAAAACCTAAAATAACTTCATCAATGTAGATCAGTAGAAAGTATTGAAATTTGGCTCATCAAACTTTCAAATTCTCTGTTTGCTTTAGTTTTGATTTTATCGCATGACCCCAAAGTTATCGTGTACGCTCATTATCCTACGTTCTATTTCAGATTCTGTAAAGAAGGAACCACGGTGGAACTTCTGGAAGTATCTGGTCAACCCTGAGGGTCAAGTTGTGAAGTTCTGGAGGCCTGAGGAGCCCATTGACGTCATCAGGCCTGACATCGCAGCTCAGATTAGGAAAATCATCATAAAAAAGAAGGAGGACCTATGAGCCTGCCGCTGGGCCCGCCTCCCGCTGCAAGCACAGAAGGGTTCCGGGACAGCTTGGTCTCGTCTCAAAAACTTCAGTGTGGCATGAAAGGATGGGGTTTTTTTTACGTTGTCTTGCTAGCCAGTAGTAATGAAGGACTCCAGTACGACAGTATTATCAAAACGGAAAGAACAGCCAAAGACTACTGAAAATTCAGAATTCAGTCACCCGTGGACTTCAGTATCCTGTTCAACTTGACCCTTTTCCAGGACCGTACTGGATGGCTAAGCCAACACACTAGACCACTGCTGGGTTCAAGGCGACTGTGGGTGACTAGCAAATGTCACAGCTATGTTGAACATGCTAAAATATTGAAATGTTGAAAAAATGTAAAATATACCTATAAAGTGTCATATACTTTTGTTTCATGTACAGTGTTTGATTTGGTTTTCTAAGTAGTTGCCTGGTGTGTTTTACTATGACAATCATTTATAAATGACATTATCGTAATAGTTGAAGCAACCCTCATTTCCAGTGTTTCTCCAGAAGCAAGTCGGATTCTAGAAATGCAATATGAAGGTTGAGTTGATCGTTTCTGGGTGAAGAGCTCAAGTGTAGGATGTGAGTGTAATTGATTTCTTCTCAGTTGATTTTGGCTGTTCATATATAGTCAGACTAAATCATTTGGAGAGAATTCAATGACCCATCGTTCTGAGAGTTGAATTGCGAAAATTAGCTCCAAGAGATCAAAATGCGAATGTGAAAGAGCGAGCAGCCCAGGACTCGCTGAACGGACTGCATCCTGTGTGCGCTCTGTGGCAAAGGTGGAGGCGCAATTTCCACCCGAGGACAAGAGGATCCACCGGTATGGCCTTGCGGTGGGAGACCCCGCGGGAGCACTCAGCCCCTGGAACTGCTGTGTGTGGCAGGTGCAGCGTGACCGAGCGAAGGGGTGCAGTCGCTCTTTATGCTTCAAAATTCTTTAACTTTTATAGAGCATTGATAAATGAACATACTTACCAACATGTGTGAAGGCACCAGGAAATCAGAATGAATCTGGGTTACTGATAAACAGAAGCCACCTAAGCAGTCCGTCCTTTGTGATTTTGGTCCTACAAGCCTAGGAGGAGTTTGAATGCCGAGCCGCTGTGCCGCACAGCGTGGAGGGCCACCCTGCCTCAAAGTGTTACAGCCAGAGCGCTCCTGCCTCATCCTGCACAGCCGCTTAGGACTTGAGCGGGACAGTGCAGCGGCCTGGCTGGTGGGAGGATGGCATGGTGGTGGTGCCTACGTCCCAGGCAGGAGCAGCACCCCACAAGCGATGCAGACTCCCCACTGTCCAATGGGTGGCAGCAGAGCTGCACTGAGGGTGGCCAGGGCTGTCCAGTGAATGCCCACCCCAGCGAGGGCTGGCCTGCCTCAAGCCACAGGGGGCTGCGTAATGACCATCTTCACAGTGGTTGTCCCTTGCCCCTTGGGTGTGCAGGGCAGGCAAGCAGGTGGAGATTCGTGTGTCTGCTCTGGGTTCCCCGCTGTCCCCCACCTCCCAGCACACACGCTGAGCACAAGCTGTCTCTCTGGAATCGGTGTCAGCATCGCGCGTCTGAGTCACGGGCTGCCTGACAGGGGATGTGATTGAGAACTGCTGAGCGTCACGTGGTATGCGGCTGTCTTCAGGACAGGAGACAGAAGCAAGTGCATTTTAGTTCTGGTGCTTGGAGACTATGTCCTAGTAATTCCAGCTCACGGCGGACGGACCAGAGTGTCGGGCCTAGGATAGGAACGAAAACGCGCCTGAGCCAGGCCCGACCGCTGTGTCTCGTTTCCGAATAGGCTTAACAAGCACAGGGCGTCTGGGACGCTATGTCCTAACTTGGGGTATATACACAGCAGTGGGCAAATGAGTAACAGCAGACTCCGAGGAACCCTGACAGCATAGGGCAGTTTCCATGGTGTAAAGTTCCTGGCGGCCAGTTCCCAGTGGGTTCTAATAATTAGCTCAAGGCCTCTGAAATTTTGAACACTTGGTCTGCACTTACCTCACTGCTAGCTCCAGCACACCAAAGGGTTGAAAGATGGGACTTCAACGGGGGATCATCAGGATCCCCGGAGAGAAAAACCCACAACAAAAATGTTACATTATTATATACTAGTGTTAATATAACAACTATGGAAATGTATATAAAAATGTGGAAGTCTACACAGCTTCTGAATTATGACAGTGATAATACTCTGCCTAATTGCGCTGAAATCTAATAACCTCGTTGAATTACCTGCAGATAATCTCAAACAGGAAGTTACTTCAGTTAAAAGCAAAAACACAGGGACTGGCATCCTGGCCCAGCGGGTGAAGCTCCCACATGCAAAGTGGGCATCCTACACAGGAGCGCTGGTTCAAGTCCCGGTTGCTCTGCTTCGGGTTCAGCTCCCTACTGATGTGCCTGGGAAAGCAGCAGGACGTGCTCCCCATCCTGGGAGCCCTGCACCCACAGGGAAGGCCCAGCCAGCGTTCCTGCCTCTGGGCTCCGGCCTGAGCCAGTCCTGGCTGTTGCAGCCATTGGAGCAGTGAGCAAGAGAATGGAAAATCTTTCTAGCTTCCCCCTCTGTATCTCTCTTTCAAAACAAAATATTATGATCAAATCTCAAAGAGAAAAGCCAAAACTGTCTCTACATTTATTTCTTTAAAGATGCTGTGATGAAAACACTGCTTTTCATGGGCTGAAGTGTTGTCTGTACACACACAATGTCACGTTCATTCACGGTTGAATCTAAAACATGGCCTAAGTGGGTGGAGCTGATGAGGGGATGAGGCTTGATGATTTCATCTTCTCATGGGATCACAGAACTCCCGCGACAGTAATGCCCAGGAACTGACCCATCACACTCCCTCCACTTCTCCTTCCCCCTCCTCAGCCCAACCATGAAGGCCCCAGCTGGCAGAAAGGCAGCAAGAGGCGAGGCGATGGAAGCAGCCGCCTGCCCCACGCCAGCGAGGCCGGAGTGCTGGCTGCCCCGGGAAGCAGCCTGGGCGGGAAGCCAGCAGCCCAGCCCTCCTCACCGAGCGACCCCTTTCCCTCTGCTCGGGTCTCGACTTCCCAATGCCTGTCTTTCCCGCTCAAGCCAATGGAAATGTTTTTTTTTTTTTAATTTTTCTCTCCATTTTCCTTTTTACCCATTGATTCCTTTAATCTTCTGTCGTTCCATTCCTTCCCTCCTCCCTGCTCCTATCAGTAATATTAAACTGTAAAAAAAAAAACAGCTTTGAAAGTGCACTGTTCATTGAGGACAAACACTGGCATTTTAGGCCTTGCTTCTCAATTTCAAATTTAAAAAATGAAACACAAAGGCTAGGCATTCAAAATTGAACAGGTTTTTTTATTATTATTTTTAGCAACAGGCCAGTGACTCTCTTGAGAAAATGACACAGGAACATTTAACCTTAAAAAATAAACAGGATGAGAACATTCACCTAAACTTAAAACACGACTGTAAAAATGGAATAACCCTTTGCCACGACACGAGGAGGCTACAATCTGAAAGAAAATGCCCAAGAATGAATTTACAGGTATCTGTTCAACCTATTTCTAAAAATAAGTTTAAATAAGATAAGCACAAAAACTATTTTACCAATATAATTCAATACATCTCATCTAGAAACACACCTCCAGTTCCACCACGTGCTGCAAACGTCCACTTGAGGGCGCCAAAGGTCTGGGTCCAGGCCTAGCTGCCCCTGCAGCAATAAAACAGATAAAATCACACTGCAGGGTCGTCCTTCCCACTTGGCCAGCTCAAGCTCTTACTCGCTCCCAAACATTCTGTGAGCATGCAAACTTGCAGAAAGTGAAGAATTGAGTCAACCCTACTAATTCAACCAGCTGCCAAAAAGTTCCTCAATTTTTTTGACATTTCAAGTGAAATGGAGATTGCTGACTCATTTCGAATATTACCCCTAGTCCCTCTTGAGCTAGCATGCACACACCGTCACAGAGACCTACTTTAATGATTTATTAAGAATTACTGCTCCGGGTCTGGGGCAATAGCCTAGTGGTTAAAGTCCTCACCTAACACACCCCGGAATCCCATACGGGCTCCTGTTTGTATTCTGGCTGCTCCACTTCCCATCCAGCTTTCTGCTTGTGGCCCAGGAAAGCAGTCGAGGATGGCCCAAAGCCTGGGGACCCTGCACCTGTGTGGGAGACCTGGAAGAAGCTCCTGGCTCCTGGCTTCGGATCGGCTCAGCTCTGGCAGTTGTGGCCCCTAGGAGAGTGAATCAGCAGATAGAATATCTTTCTCTCTGCCTCTCCTCCCCTCTGTAAACCTAACTTTCTAATAAAAACAAATAAATCATTTTTTAAGAAAAAGAAATTGCTGTTCCAAGAAACAATACCAGACTTCACAGCCCCGCTTCCCTTCCAGCTCCCTGCCTGTGGCCTGGGAAAGCAGTTGAGGACGACCCAAAGCTTTGGGACCCTGCACCCGCGTGGGAGACCCGGAAGAGGCTCCTGGCTTCGGATCGGCATAGTATCGGCCCGTTGCGCTCACTCGGGCGGAAGATCTTCTTCTCTGTCTCTCCTCTCTGTATATCCGCCTTTCCAATAAATAAATAATAAAAATAAATCTTTAAAAAATAAAAAAAAGAAAATTTGCACATAGATTTAAGATTTTTCATCCTAGACTGTCATTACATTCTAAAGCGTACACTTAAAAACGCATACAGTGTCACAAATACTTTAATACGGGCACCTACCCACGTCTTCAAACATCATAATTGAAACCTTGGGGTCATTAGTTAAATCACTTTCTTCGCCGTTATAAAGCTGTGCGTTGTGTTATAGTTGAGTAACTACGGTAACAGTAACTGATTCATGCTAAGTAGCACCCGACATGACGGCAGGAAGTGCACGCCCGCACTGCAGACCCCAGTGCCCTCCGACGTTAAGGTGGATGCGACGAGATAGCAGCCGCATGTTAGCTGGTGTCACTCGCATATCCAACCAGCTAACAATACACTGCCAGCTCGTCACACACGCGGGAGGACACACACAGCGACGCGAGGACATGGCCCAGAAGCAGGTGGCAGGGTAGCACTGGCTGCTGACTCGACGCACAGCAGCCAGCAAACTACGCACTGCCTGCCCGACCCTGGTCGCTGCCGGGAGGACACCGAGGTCGGTCAGAGCGCCGAGCGCGAGCCAGAGACAGACCTGCAACCGAGCTGAGGGAGGAAGGTGCCAGTGGCCAGCGCGGTTAGGGACTTACATGGCAGTTGGGTGACACTAACCATTGCACTCTGAAAGTGTAGCTACGCACTCAACTCTGCAGAAAAGACCTACAGAAACCTGAGTCAGGGTTACAGCGCAGTGAAGGGTGATGGGGAGGCTGAGGGATGCGAGGCGGAGTCACTAGGC